CTAAAGAGGAGAAACAATAATGTACAGTATGTGGAAAATAATGTGTTTTTTTAACTTTAAACCGCATAAACACATTTCATTACACCAAATACACAAAATAATGTTCTTTTTAGCAACATCATATGACCCCTTTAAGAAATATTTTACATGTATATGTATATATTCATCTTTATATATGATTTATATTATATATAAAATATATATATAACTCATCTATGTTCATAGTTTTATTAAGAAACTTATGTAAATCTTATGTAAGTTCTTTTTTTAGAAGTATATATATATATCATATAGCCTATCATGGCTCTATGGTATGCTGTCTGTTTTCAATTGATAGCAGACATCCTGAAATATAAATAGGTGCGTTAAATTTACGTCTAACCACTTCTATTATATAGTTCTCACTGCCTAGAGGGCAACTTAAGTAAAACGTGACACGACTTACGCCATTTTTCTCGCTTCATGACAAAAACAACCCTAAACCGTTAGTGTATTTGGCAGCAGATCGGCCGCCAGGGGCGCAGAGTGGGTTTCATGTACACCCGCTGTATGGAAAGCCCTTGTAACATTTAATCTATAAGCCGTACTAGTATCTATTTTCATGGTACTAGTAACGAATAAGTGCTAGTAACTTTACAAAATACATTTGTACCTAAAGAATAAACACTAGTACCTAAAGAATAAGCACTAGTAGCTAAAGAATAAGCACTAGTACCTAATGAATAAGTACTAGTACTTAATGGAAAAGATACTAGTATCTAAAAAATAGATACTAGTACCATGAAAATATATACTAGTACGGCTTATAGATTAAATGTTAAAACGGCTTGCCATACCCGCTGCGCTGCTGTGCGCATTGAGACGCTCCGACAGCACGGCGGTGGAGAGTCTCACTTCAGAATGACACGAACCGAACCGATGCACGAAAACCCTCCGGTTTAGACGAAAGGTGAGTTATCTGCCCTATTACTCCTTAATTACCCCACCCTTTCTGCACCATTAGCCTCAAAAGCACCGAATTGATATCACTGCTCTGTATACAATGTGCCATCTTGCGCCATTGCGGTTAAAAATGCGATCAGCGTACAGCTAATGAAACTAGACCGATGGAAGAGAGTCGTTACCACACAGATAATCGAGGGTTATCTAATATCACCATCATGTTGTACAATCGTTTCATTTTATTTGTAACCATTAGTAGTAACCAGTTAGATTCTGTTTTTCTGGACAGGCAAAATTGTAGCTAAGTTACCCATGATTTGATCAAGTTCTTTCTTTTGAGTTAACAGCACGTTTTGTTCTTTGTTTTTGAATTTTGGCTGACGTTTTCTTGGCTTAAAGATAGCAGTCATACCATTTTCAGCCATATTATTATTTGATCTAAAATGCCTGAAATGTTATACAGTAAAATATTCTGGTGTTAATTAGAAGATAAGGGGG